GCTTAATCATAGGAAGTGAGGATAAACCCTTCCCCGGAAAAGAAGAAGGGACATGGAAAAGGAAACGCTTTAGACCATCAGCGACCTGACGGCTGGTGGGATTAACCCTCCTTCCAAGCTCCTTCTTCATAGGCCCTTACAACGGCTCATTTCCATTGAGGATATTGTTTCGTTGGAAGACAACTTTTTGAATATCCTGAAGCATGCCAGCACATTGTTTTCGGGATTTCAACGCCACGTGTCTACCTGATTGCTGCGTCTTGACGCTCCGGAATCGTGCCAAAACGCCATTTTTGGGACTTCGGCACCGCGAGTCAACATAATTGTTGCGCCCGCATAATCCGGAATCCGGCCAAAACAAAATTTTCTGGTACGCTGATCATGGGAACCCGTGATACTCTTGCAGATATTGAAAAAGAATGTGCGCGGCGCTGGGGCGGGAACCACATTTTGAAAAAGGAACCGCCCTCATTCCGTGAAGTTTTTGCAAATGTTTAAGACGGATGCGCGCGGCGCTAAGGCGAGAGCCACATGTTGAAAACGACCCGTATTCAATCAGTGAAACGCTTGCATGTCTTATAACGAATGTCTGTGGTGCTCAGGCGCTCAAGCGAGGGCCACATTTTGAAAACGACCCGCCACCAATCGGTGAAAACCTTACAAATATCGAAAACGACTGTGTTCGGCGCTAACGCGTTAGCCGCATTTTGAAAACGACCCGCCTTCAATCCGTGAAATGTTTGCGATGTTTTAGAACGGATGGGCGCAACGCTGAGGCGAGAGCCACATTTTGAGAACGACCCGCCCTCAATCCGTGAAGCTCTTGTAATGTTTTAAACGAGTGGGCGCGGCGCTCAGGCGAGAGCCACAGTTTGAAAACGACCCGCCCTCCAATTGTGAAGCGGTGCCATTTTTAAGTTTCAGAGTCAGAAGTGGGAAGTTTCGAGCGAAACGTCCGGCCCGTCCTACAAACTGGCCACGGGGTGCGACAGGGAAAAGTGATCTATAAAGAGAAGGAATAGAGGAGGAGAAAGAGGATGAGGTGGAGGAGGAGGGAGGAGGAGGGAGGAGGAGGAGGAGGAGGAGGAGGCGGGGAAAAGGAGTAGGAGGAGGAACAGGCGGAGGAGGAGGAGGAGGAGGAGGAGCAGGAGGAGCCGGAGGAGGAGGAGGAGGAGGAGGAGGAGGAGTAGGAGGAGGAGGAGGGGAGGAGGGGAGGAAGGGAGGAAGGGATGAGGATCAGGATGATGATGCTGCTGATGATGATGATGATGAGGCTGAATATGATACTGATAATGCTGATAATGCTGATGATGATGATGGCGATGATGATGATGATGATGATGATGATGATGATGATGATGATGATGATGATGATGATGATGATGATGATGATGATGATGATGATGATGATGATGATGATGATGATGATGATGATGATGATGATGATGATGATGATGATGATGATGATGATGATGATGATGATGATGATGATGATGATGATGATGATGATGATGATGATGATGATGATGATGATGATGATGATGATGATGATGATGATGATGATGATGATGATGATGATGGACATGTACATGATGGTGATGATGCTGCTGATGATGATGATGAGGATGAGGACGATAAGGAGGCTGAGGAGGAGAAGGACGAGGAGGAGGAGGAGGAGGAAGAGGAGGAGGACGAGGACGAAGAGGAGGAGGAGGAGGACGAAGAGGAGGAGGAAAAGGAGGAGGATGAGGAGGAGGGAAAGGATGGCGAGGAGGAGGAGGAGGCGGAGGAAGGAGGAGAAGGAGGAGGCGGAGGATGAGGAGGATACTGATAGAAAAGAGGAGGAGGACGATGAGGAGTAGGAGGACGAGGAGAGGAAGAGGGGGAGGAGCAGAAGGAAGAGGAGGAGAAGGAGGAGAAGGAGGAGGCGGAGGAGGAGGGGACGCAGGACGCAGCATAGAACGTCGAAGCATCCGGGAACGCGACGGCGACTATATAAAATGAAACGGGGGAGCGTGATAAATCACCAGCACTCCAGGCCGGAAGCATTCGACCGATAATTGCACACTTACACGGTGCGGAGGGAGGCCATCGATGTTTTGACGGCACCAACCCAGCTCAGGCGAACTGGGCGGCACCCGACAGGCCTCCCCCCCGCATCACAAGTCAGAAAGGAACGCCTGACGCTGGATGTTTGCCCTCGGCAAGCCAATCCCTGGCTCGCCGACGGGCTGGGTTCGGGGGTGCCGGCGGGCACGGGGCTCCAAGGGCCTCCAACTTGGGAGACCCCAAAGCCACTCGGGCCCCACAGCGGCCACAGTACAGGAAAGGCCCTGCACGGTGGATCCTGTGCCCGTCGCACTCGAACAAGTATCCCCCCGCCTCCGCCTCCATAGCGGCAGCAGCAGCGGCAAGGGCAGCCTCCCCCTCCCCGGAGACGTGCTGCCGCCAGCCCAGCCGCTCGGTAGCAGCCGCTAGCTGGCGCAGCATTGGGCCAGGCTCGCACCGCGCCCCTGGTTTCAGCAGCGATTTGCAACTGGCTGGGGTCCGAGCAACGGCCAGACCGAGCCTGCACTGAACCGCCGAGGACCCAGGAGCCAGGGGCACGGTGTCATGAGCCACTAACACCAGCTGGGGCGCACGGGGCCTTGGGGCCCGAGCCGGCACTGGAGCAGCAGGCGCCTGGGAGACCTCGGGACGAGCACAGATTATCTGGACGGCTCGTGAGAGAAACTGGCACGACAATTTGCAATCGCTTATGGCGGCCTGGAGCGACGCAACCGCCACATCAGCAACAGCGATGTCCTGGGCTCCGAGCTTGGCAAAGAAATCGGCCCAAGCATTACCCATGAAACGCCATATATCACCAGCGCCCGCATCCTGATCGATTAACCCCTGGAGCGACAAGTGTGCAGGAGTCCAGTGGAACTCAGGACGCAGAGCGTGCTGGGAGCAGACAAGGAAGATTTTGCGCCAAATCGACGCGTGGGCTGAGGTACCGCACTCAAGGTTGGGGTCCCAGCCTCGCCCTTCATTGACAAACGAAAGGTGGTCGCTAATTATGACAGGTGGCAGGCCTCCCGAGGGGCCGAGGGCGATGGCATCTAGCCCCGCCCACCTCTCGCTCCTGGGGACCGTTTGAAAACGCCCTGGGAGACCGCCAAATCTGGCCCTCAATGGCCATCCATCGTCAGAAATCTCAACCACGCTCCAGCCGCATCTAGTGGCCTCGGGCACCGAGCTATGGAGCCCAGACCCGTCCGTGAACCGAAACCTGCCCCAAGGACCTTCCGCGAGTCCCCAGGTGAGCACAGGCGGCCGAGCTGGGGGAGGAGGCAACTGGATAGGGAGGGAGGGAACCCCGTAGAGCGACGACACGACATCCCAATCGGCCGACCCCAGACTCCTCCCTTTCTCCCGCAAGGCCTGCCTGTGCTGCCAAACGTCCTCAGGGAAGCCCATGCCATCCCCCGAATCCTCGCCCGAGGCGAAGGCACTGGAACAATCGAAAAACTGGTGGCCCATCGACCCTCGCTCCGCTCCACAGAAGGTGCACTGAGCTGACGGAGCCAGGCCCGCGTCGAATTTGCGAGCAGGCGGCCACAACCCTCCAGACCACAGGGCGCGCATCGAACCTTGACGGGCACCCGCTGGGAGAGCCAGGAGGGACAGGCGCATCGCTCGAGCCCAACAAAACTCGGATCCCGTCGCCTCTGGCCAGTGGAAGGGGACCCTACGCCAAAGCCAACGCTCAACCCCGTCTCGAACGAGGCTCCGAACTTCGCTGGGAGCGCAGTCATACAGAGAGATGTGCTCGCCACGGTCCGAGAGGAGGAGGTGAGGGGCCTCTAATTCCCAGCCGATGCGACGAAGCGTGAGAAGCACAGCAGAGATGGGACCGAAACACTGCCTCCAAGACCCCTGCTGACCCAACCGATCACGGATGGCCACGACCGCAGTCCGGAGGCGAGAGAGGGAGGTCCGACCATCCCACAGCCAGCACGCATATCTGACAACCAGAGGGCAGGTGGCGTCGAAGGTGGGATCATACAACCTGTCTCTCTGCGTGCAAGTATACGCAGTGAGCGACGCGGAGGAGGAGGAGAAGGAGCAGGAAGTTGATAAAGAGGAGGAGGAGGGCGAGAGGGAGGGGGAGGAGTATGAGAGGGATGGGGAGGAGGACGAGGATGAGGGGGGGGGGGGGGGACGAGGATGATGATGAGGAGGAGGAGGAGGGGAGGAGGAGGAGGGGAGGAAACATAGGAATAGGAGGAGGAGGAGGAGGAGGAGGAGGAGGGGGAGGGAACAGGAGGGAGGAGGAGGATGAGGCGGTCGAATATCACTCAACAGAAGAATCGCACACACACACACACACACACACCCAATACGATTAATGTACGAATGATGACAATAATCAGAGGGATAACATGCACACTAAGGAGATCAGTACAAGTAATAACCACAAGACCACTACTCTGAATAGCAAGTCTGGTTCTAACAGTACTAATAATCATGTTACGGATGGGTCAGAACACATGGTACTAACATTTGGTAATACTACATGGGTAATACCACATGGGTAATACAACTATGAATGATAACATCAACCATGGTATTAACACAAAGTAACATCAATAGCATGCGGATGAGCAAGAGGAGGAGGAACAGGAGGAAGAGGAGGCGGAGGAGGAAGAGGAAGAGGAGGAGGGAGACGAGGATGATGAGCAGGAGGAGGAGCATGAGGAGGAAGAGGCGGAGGAAGAGGAGGAGGAGGAGGACGAGGAAGACGAGGAGGAGGATGAGGAGGAGGGCTATGATGATGAGGAGGAGGAGGAAGAGGAAGAGGAGGAGGAGGAAGAGGAGGAGGATGAGAAAGAAGATGAGGAGGAGGAGGGAGGAGGAGGAGGGAGGAGGAGGAGGAGGAGGAGGAGGAGGGGGAGGTGGCACAGGACGAAGGAGGACGACGAGGACGCGGAGTCGGCGGCCGCCCCGCCGCGGAGGCCACGGCGAGCCCGCCGCCGAAGCCCTGGCAGCGCGGCGCGGGGTGCGCCTGCGTGCGCGGGGCCACCGCTCGGCGACGCCGCCGCTCGGCGTCGCCGCCGCTCGAAGTCGCCGCCGCTCGGTGTCGTCGCCGCCGCTCGTCGTCGCTGCTGCCGCTCGTCGCCGCCGCCGCTCGTCGTCGTCGTCGTCGCCGCCGCCGCTCGTCGCCAGCAGGGCGCGACTGCGACCGAAGCGTCAGATACTTCAGCCCGCCTCACACTTGGCGCGGGAGCCCGAGCGGGCGCGCTTCAGGGAGAGGCGGTCGAATTGTAAACGCCGGTGTGATAGTAAATACACAAGTGGAATGGAGCATTCCTCGGTCCAAGTGGTTTAGTCCCTGTTTTTTTTTCCTAAAACGTGAGGAAATCTTACTCGCCGCAGAGAGGCATCGTAGAGACCTCTACGACGCCTCTAAGACGCCTGCACGATGCTTCCATGAGGCATCTAAGAGGCCTGTAAGAAGCCTCTACGGCGCCACTACGAGGCCTATAAGAGTCCTCTAAAAGGCCTCTAAGTCGCCTCTACGAGGTCTCTACACGGCCTCTACGAGGCTCCTGAGGGGCCTCCTACGAGGCTCCTGAAAGGCCTCATCGAGGCTCCTGAGAGGCCTTTGCGAGGCTCCTGAGGCGCCTTTGCCAGGCTCCTGAGAGGCCTCGGCGAGGCTCCTGAGAGGCCTCTGCGAAGCTCCTCGGATTCCTTAGGATTCCGTTTCCGGAACCTCGCAATTCTTTGGATTCCGAGGAGTTTTTTGTTGCCTCTCGTGGGTTTCTTGGGGGCTTCTTGGGGGCCTCTTCGGGCTTCCAGGGGACCTCTCTGCGCCTCGAGCTCGAAATGTCCGTTCGGGTCCATCGTCTGGGCCTGCTTTTGGAGCCGTCTTGGGGGCCTCGTCGGCCATTTTGGAATCCTCTGGGGCTGTCTTGGAGCCCTCTGGGGCCGTTTTGGGCGCCCTTGGAGGCCTCTTGGGCCGTGTTGGGGGGATCTTGGAAGCCTCTTGGGCCGTCTTGGAGCGCCGGTAAGCCCCAAGGCGAGAACGCCAAAAATTTGCAACAACTGCGGGAAAGTCACTAGCTTTTGCCTCTGTGGGCCCTCTTGGGAGGTCTCTTGGAGGCCTCTTAGGGCGTCTTGAAGGCGCTTTGGATTGTCTGGAGGCTACCTTTGGCGTCTTCGGTTGCTCTTAGGCCGTCTCGGGCCATGTGCAGCTCTCTTGGAGGCCACGTGAAGCGCTCCTGGAATGCTCTTGGGAGCCTGCTGGGACCTGGCCAGGACCTGCCCAGGACCTGCCCGGGACCTGCCCGGGACTTTGCCGGGACTTGCCGGGACCTTGCCGGGGTGTTTTTCATCCGGGGACCCCAGGGGCGGCCCCGTAGAATATTGTTAACCAGTCACCGGAGAACTTAGCACGCCCTTGGCCCGTTGGGCCAGCGAATTCACGCACGCGGCCCAGCGCGCACGTTGTCTGCGGGTCCCTTCGACAGAACGGCGCCGCCGCATCCGCCGCCGCCGCCGACGACGACGACGACGATGACGACGACGACGGTGACGACGACGACGACGACGACGGCGATGGCGGCGGCGGCGGCGTCGGCGACGACGGCGACGACGACGGCGACGACGACGACGACGACGACCCAAGCGACGACCACGACCACGGAGGGAGGCCGAGGTGGCGCCTCGGGGATGTCTGCCGGCCGCCGGCGCCCGCAGGTCCGGGGGCGTGCCCCCCGCCGCCGGCGTCGCGGGCGTCAACGCCGGGGGCGTGGCCTCCCTCGGAGGCCTCGCCGCCGCGTCCCCTCGAGCATCAGTCGTCGTCCGCCGCCGCCGCTCGGCGCCACGGGCCATGGCCGTCCATCGCTGTCGTCGCCGTCGCCGTCGTCGACGCCGTCGTCGTGGTTTTCGTCGTCGTCTCCGTCGTCGTCGTCGTCGTTTCCGTCGTCGTCTTCGTCGGCGTTGTTTTTCCTCGACGTCGTCGTCGTCGTCGTTCGGCGTCCTCGTCCTCACCCCCGTCCTCGCCGCCGTTTCTGTATTCTCGGGGAACAGAATGCCTGGAGTGGAGTGCAATGATCCCGCTGGCGCGCGGCAGGCCCGATGCGACCGCTGGCATGCAAGCATCTTGCTGCGCCTCCGCCAAGCGGCGGACCTGCACGCGCGTGTGGTTGACGAGTTCGGTTCAGGAGGGAGAGAAGCACACAGACACAATTAACCGTCGACTCCCAGGAAAATATGGGAAAATGTGGGAAGTGTGGGGGAAGACAGAAACCCAGAAAATGTTGGAAAATATGGGGATCCTTGTTATTTGTGTGTGTATTTATTTGTGTGTTTGTGGCCCCTTCATCGGTTCGGTTCTCACCAAAGAAAATTCTTAGGAAGCAGAATCAGCGACTGCGAGGATGGGTGCGCCAGCGTGCGGTTTGCGATCGGCGCCGCTGGGGCCCCGGAGGGCACGACGCTGTCCTCGTCGGGCCTCCTCGCGGCGCCAGAGGGGGAGCTGCATCGAGTCGGAGGTTGATAGATCTCCTGCCCTGTCACGTCGATTAAGGAATTGGCCGTTTTCGGTTCGCGAGAGGGCGTCGCGGCCGTCATTTTTGCGGGTCCAGGTCCGTCGGTTTCGGTCCCAGGCCGTTTTAACTAAGGTGATGTTTATTAAAGGGAGGTTTGTCCACCACCGATCGAGGCCCCCTCCCGTCCCCTGGGGTGACCCCAGGGTGCGGTTTGCAAGCGACACCCTCTGCAAAGCACACATCTCGGAGTCGCCGAACATGTTGGGACGTGAGAGGTCACTCCCAGGGGGGGCCCCCAAGAGGCGGTGCGGCGACTGGGCTGCTTGGGTGTGGGGATTGGGCTGGCCCCAAGACAGTCCAAGAGCCCCAAGACGGCCTTCAAGAGGGCCCCCGAGAGGGCCTCAGGAGGCCAAACACATTGTTTGTCCGACGGTGTTTCATAGATTTGGGGGTTCTCGCCTTTTCGGGCCCAGAAGGGCACCAGGCGGCCCAAGAGGTCGCAAAGATCGTCCCCAGACGCCCCGAAAGGGCACGAAACCTTTCCAAGAGGGTGCCCCAGAGGGCCCCACCACGGCCCAAGAGGGCCCCCAGACGGCCCCACGAAAGCACCAATATGGCCCCAAGAGGGTCCCACGAGGGTCCGAAGAGGCGGTGTGGGGACTGGGCTGCTTGGGTGTGGGGACTGGGCTGGTCCCAAGACGGCCCAAGAGCTCCAAAATTGCCTAAAAGAGTACCCCAAAAACTCCCAAGAAGCCCCAGAGACGCCAAGTAACACCATGGCCCCCCATAGCGAGCGGCAATGTTCCATGTTCCACAAAGCGCGGTGACGTAAGGAGCTCTGAACAGCAAGACTCCCAAGAGCGAGCGGCACCGTAAAGGTCTCTGAACACCAGGGCTCCCAACAGACAGCGGTAAGGCAGGGATCGGGTGTAATGGCCAGGAACTCACTCCCCCGAGAAGGTCCCAGAGGTGCCCAAGATGGCCCAAGAAACGCTCAGGACGGCCCAAGAGGAGCCCAAGAGGGTTCCAAACAGGCCCACGAGCGCTTCAAAAGACCCCGAGACCGTCCAAAAGCGTTCCAAGATGGCCTCAGATGGCCTCCAGACCGTGCAAGAGAGTTCCGAGACGGCCCAGCGGGCTAAGAAGCTTCCCAATAGGGCCCAAGGAGGCAACAATCATTGATTTGTGCATGGGTTGCTGAAGGTGTTGCAGGTTCTCGCCTTTTCGGGCCAAGAACGGCCCACAACGGCCTAAGAGGCTCCAGCGATTGTTCCAAGACGGCCCAAAAGTCCAAAAGGCACCCCAAGGGGCTCCAAAACGGGAGGAGGAGGAGGAGGAGGAGGAGGAGGAGGAGGAGGAGGAGGAGGAGCCCAGGAGGGCCCCACCACGGCCCAAGACGGCCCCAAGACGGCCCCAAGAGAGCTCCATTAGGCCCTCGAGAGGCTCCCAAGAGGGCCCTCGGCGGCCCCCAAGATAGCCCCAAGACGGTCCAAAGCCTCCAAGACGCCCCGAGACTTCCCAGAAGGGTCCTAAGACGGCCCCAAAGGGCCCCAGAACACCCCAAAAGGGCCCCAGAATGCATTCACAAAAACCCCAAGAAGGCCCGGAGACGCCAAATACAAGAGCGATCGGTAACGCAAAAAGCTCTTCACACCAAGGCTCCCAACAGCGAACGGTGACGTGACAAATTCGTGACACCAAAGCTTCCAAGAGCGAACGGCTCCCACCAGCGGGCGGGCACGCAACAAGCTCTTGACACCAAGGCCCCCCAGAGCGCGGTGACGTAAAAAGCTCGTCTCACCAAGGCTCCCAAGAGCGAGCGGTTACGCAAAAGTCTCTGAACACCAAGGTTCCTAAGAGCGAGCGGTGAAGTAACAAGCTCTTACCACCAGACGGTCCAAGAGAGGCTCGAGACGGCTGCCGGGGCCCTCAAGAGAGCCCTCGAGAGGGACTCCGCAGGTCAACAACATTGAATTCCCTTTGGTTTTTGTAGGTTTTTCGGGTTCTCGCCTTTTCAGGCCAAGAACCGCCCAGGGCAGCCCAAGAGGCCCCACGACGGCCCAGGTAGCCCCAAGACGGCCCCAAGAGATCCCCCTTCTGAGGGCTTGTTCGTAGTAGAATAAACGGTCGCGGGGAAGGTGTCCAGACCGCTGCCTTGGCCACGTTTCTGACAGCAAATCATGGGGGCCTGGTCGTCTTTAGCGTCGATCAGCGTCGATTAGCGTCTGGGAATCGATGAGATAGTGCCGATGTGGCGTCGATCAGCATCCACTTAGCGTCGGCTAGCGTCGATTTAGCGTCGATTCGCAAGAGCCGACAAGATAGTATGGGAGGCTCCCGTGATTTGCCACCGACCTTGCTCGAGGTCTTTGGCCTTCAGAGGACGAGAAGGTACCCAGACCGCTGCCCTGGCCCCGTTTTTCCCTGTTTGGGCCTCCTGGGATCGAACAGGAAAAAACTGCATAAACAAAAGCTTTTGGCGCTCCGCTAGGGGGCCGCATGCGAACCCTCCAACTACACACCGCGATTTTTGAGGGGGAGGGTGGGGTTCACTTCGCTCGGGGGGGGTTGGGTTACGGGTAGGGGTCAAAACCCCCCCCCCCGCCCGCAAGCCGTCTCGCTCACTCCCACCCGCCCTCCCAACACATACGTAGCACCCGAGTCTGGCCCGAGCCTCAGCATATTCAGCAGTCGTCTTTGGATGGGTAGCTACTGGGGGCCAATCCGCCGCCACCGCCGCCTCCGCCGCCGCCGCCGCCGCCGCTGCCGCCGCCGCCGCAGCCGCTGCCGCTACCGCCACCGCCGCCGCCGCCACCGCCGCCACCGCCGCCGCCGCCGCCGCGCCGCCGCAGCCGCCGCCGCCGCCGCCGCCGCCGCAGCCGCCCGCCCGCCGCCGCCTCCGCCAAGTGTACCCTGCATTGTTTTTTGAGAGGGATGGTGGGGGGGAGGGGACGCATCGGGTTGGTTGCGCATGTTCCGAATTTGGACACAGAGTGTGTTTGTGTTGGTTTGTACAAGGGATTGTGTGGGGGGTCGTCATGGACCTGGGTTGGCCCCCAGTCGCCTGGGGGAGGGTGTGTTTATTAATAGGGAACAGTGATCAAGTTAGCCAGCTCGAGCGAGTCAGAGGGCTCCGTCCACCCCCACCCGCCCTCCCACAACATAATAAGCAAATGCGTCGCGTCCGACGCACGTCGCTCATCTTATATCGTGGGCGGTTAGACGTTCAGCGCGCGACATGAGCTGCGTCCTATTCGTGCCGCGTAGTGAGCAACGTCGACGAGAAACAAGACCGCGCGCGATGTACGCCGCGCCCCAGTCTGGCCTGTCATGTTGCATCGTCGCTGACAACATGTACAGCGCGCGAAGTGCGCCGCGTTTCATTCCAGCCACGCTTGTTGTACAGCCAATCGTTTCGCTCCTGCCGCGCATGGAGGAGGGGGAGGAGGAGGAGGAGGAAAAGGAAGAGGGGAGGGAGAGAGGGAGGGAGGGAGAAACTGAGGAAGAAGAGGAACATGGCCTCTTGGGAATTCGCGGGGCGTCCTGGAGTTTTGGCCTCTTGGGAGTTTTCTTGTATACGTCTGAGGGCCTCTTGGATATATCTTCCGGGTTGGAACATTGTCAACGCAAGTATGTGCGAACCTTACAATCCTTCAAACACCAAATGAAAATCAATATTTGTGATGCCCCCCAGGACCTCTTGGACGCCTTTTCTCGACCTCCTGGGGGTCTCCTGCAGCACTTGCTTGAACCGCACTTGCCTGAGGCATTCTGACTTGCCGCCCGCCCAGCTCTTCAACCCGACGGGCCGCAGCGTCGACGACAAGAACGTCCATGTTGACGAGCAGGCGTCCCCGCGCGATGCGCGCCGGGTCCCATTCCCGCTACGCGATCCGCAGCTTCGACGAGGAGAAAGTACATGTTGGCAGCAACAACGGCGACGTTGCGGTGTTTTTTGGCAAGTAGGACGGGGGGTCCCGCGTAGGGTTGGCCAGGCCTCCGCGCGCGATGCGCGCCGCGCCCCATTTCTGCTACATTTTTCGCAGCGTCGCCACAAGAAAGTCCATGTTGACGAGCAGTTGTTGACTTGTATGTTTTTTTGATGGGCAGGATGCGACCACTCGTTCGCGGTTACCCAAGCGATGTTCATTCCGTCCCATTATTGCTACACGTTTCGCAACTCGACGACATGCTAGCGAAACAAAAATTGAGTTTGCGTTGTGTTTTGACAGTTCGGACGGCGGGTTGCTATCGGCCGGCTTGGTGGGGATGTGGGGGGTTGGAATGTGACCCCCTGCCCGCGCGGATTTCTTAATTCCGCGCTGGGTTTCCCCGTTGGCGGCGCCTCCCGCCCAGCGCAGGTCCAAGAATTTCGTGCGGAGCGCCAAAAAATTGTCCTTATGCAGGTTCCTGTTCTACTGGCGCCGTTTTCCAATTTTTCGGGGGGGGCCTTCTGGGAAGCCTTCGTCGCCACCGCTGGATTCGCCCCGAGGTCCTGGTCAGAACGCGCCCCGGGAGAGGTTCGGGGAATGACTTCCTGGTTTCCCCAGGGGTCTCTGGCCTGGCGCATGCTCTCTTGGCCTGTCAAGGTTCCTTTCGGCGGCGAGCGAGGGGGGGAACGGATGGGAAAACGCCTCAGTTCCCCGTCCTTCCGAGAAGTTTTCCAGCCCCCCCCCCGAATACATCCAACGCGTTTCAGAAAACCAGAGGCCTTTTGAGAAATCCCGCCCGCCGCCTACTGAGAGGGCCTTTTTCCTTGTCAGCTATCTCCTTGGACGCTGCCGATCCTTGTCAAGGATCCCTTTCCGCGCGGCGCGTCCATTCCGGGGGTCCCTGGCCTCAGGCCGCCGCAGCGTCTTCAGCGTTGGCGCCCACGGGCCCTGCACGCTTGCATCGCACCCTTGCTCGTCGAACGTTGAACGTACAGCTATTCAAGGGCCCTTGCTCAAGAACGCGGTCCCCGCTGGTCTGATCAGTGCACGGCTCGCCGTCTCACCCCACTCGAGTGTGCAGTCGCCTTGTGCGACTGAGACCCGGAGATGAGCCCAACTCACCAAACGCGAGCCCGCCCGACCAGTCCAGGACGCCCCGAGGAGCGCGAAGATAGTCCGCAGTTTTTCGGGCGTCGCGGCTTTGGCCGCCGAGCTGGCCCTCTCCGAGGGGGCGCCGCGAGGGCGCGGAGCTGACCGCGCATCGATGGGCGCGAGGCGCGAAGGGGGGTGGCCCAGGCCACTCGACCAACGACCGTCCAACGACGAGGCTCCTGCCAGCATGTAGAGATCCAGATCAGCACGGGTCGGCTCCCTGGAGGAGGAGGAAGAGGAGCAGGAGGAGGAGGAGGAGGAGGAGGAGGAGGAGGAAGAACAACGACTCGGGCTTCTGAGTGTCTGTTTCCAGGGATGGCTTCCAGGTTCGGCCGGTCGTTCCCCCTGCCTTCCCTTTCCTCCGTTCCTCCTCTTCCGCCTCCCCCCCCTTTCTCCTGCCTCCTCGGCCGGGCCCAGTCTGCGGACCTCTCCCTCTTTTCTCTTGTGGCGGGTCGTTGGGTCGTGGAGTTACGTCGGGCCTGTCCCTCTGCAGGGGGGATATTTGAAAATAGGCAAACAATAGTCGGGGGACCATTTTTTGATTATTTCTACCATTTGGGAATATTTGTGTTGTATTTTTTATTTGTCGTCGAAAATCCCCCTGTAGGGGGACACGCCCGACTCAATCGTGGAGTTACCAGGCGCCCGTCAGGTCACCTAGGCCACCGAGAACCATGCTGGCGAAGGACCCAACCATATGCAGTTGTGGGTACCGCGATTGTGAATACCTTCTTCGTTGCGACTTTCTATGGGGCCACAAAGCGGTGCACTGGGTGTGCGGGACGCATGGTGGCGGTTCCCTTGAGGGCTTCGGTGGAGCTCCCTATGGGGCCACCAAGCGCTGTGCTGAATGTGTGAAAATGCTGAATTGGGTTTTCGGGACGCATGCGGGCGGTGGCACTAGGGCCTTCGGTGGAGCATGCCAACATGGGTTTTCGGGACGCATGTGGACGGTCCCACTGGGGGCTTGGTGGAGCTCTCTATGGGGCCACGAAACGCCGTACTGGGTGGGTGAACATGCCACCTTTGGTTTTTAGGACGCATGCGGACGGTGGCACTGGGGCCTTCGGCGGAGCTCCCTATGGGGCCACGAAGCGCTGTACTGGGTGTGTGAAAATGCCAAATTGGTTTTTCGGCACGCATGCGGACGGTGGCACTGGGGCCTTCGGCGGAGCTCCCTATGGGGCCACGAAACGCTCGCTGTACTGGGTGTGCGGGACGCATGCGGACGGTAGCATTGGGACTTTCGGTGGGGCTCCCTATTGGGCCACGAAGCGCTGTATTGGGCGTGCGAGATGCATGCGGACGGTAGCACGGGGACCTTCGGAGGAGCTCCCTATGGGGCCATGAAACGCTACTGCATTGAGTTGATAAAGCGCAATGAGGAAGGAGGAGGGGGCCACGAAACGCTGTACTGGGTGTGCGGGACGCATGCGGACAGTAGCATTGGGACCTTCGGTGGGGCTCCCAATGGGGCCACGAATCGTGTGAGGGGTGTGCTGAAACTGGTGATGATGATGCTGATGATGATGATGCTGATGATGATGAGGATGATGATGATGATGATGATGATGATGATGCTGATGATGATGATGATGATGATGATGATGATGTTGATGATGAGGATGATGATGATGATGGTGATGATGGTGATGCTGGTGATGGAGGAGGGGGGCGGAGAAGGAGGAGGAGAACGCGGGGACCGTTGTTTCAAAACGAGGACCCACCACTACAGGATGGTTTAGGAAAAGACGAAAACGGCGGAGAAAACATCGAAACCACACATGCTGATAATGATATTGAGAGGAGGAGGAGGAGGAGGAGGAGGAGGAGGAGGAGGAGGAGACGGGGGAGACGGAGGATACGGAGGAGACGGAGGAGACAGAGGAGACGGACGAGGAGGAGGAGGGGGAGGAGGAGACGGATTATACGGAGGATTAGCTGGAGGAAGAGGAGGAGGAGGAGGAGGAGGAGGAGGAGGAGGAGGAGGAGGAGGAGGAGGAGCAAACAGCAGGAGCAGCAGGGAGCAGGAGCAGGAGCAGGAGCAAGGACAGGAGCAGGAACAGGAGCAGGGACAGGAGCAGGAGCAGGAGCAGGAGCAGGAGCAGGAGCAGGAGCAGGAGGAGGAGGAGGACGAGAGGACGAGAGGACGAGAGGACGAGGAGGAGGAGAAGGAGGAGGAGCAGGAGGAGGAGGGCTAGGAGGAGGAGGGCTAGGAGGAGCAGGACCAGGACCAGGAGCAGGAGCAGGCGCAGGAGGCGCAGGAGCCGAAGGAGGAGCCACCCCCCCCGGGAGCTCCCCCTCCCTCTGAGCGCGGCAGGCGCCGCGGCGGCCGCCGCCGCCCCCGCTGGGGCGGCCGCCCCCGCGGCCTCTGCAGCGGCGGCGCAGGCCTGCCGCCGCGCGCCCGCGGGGGGGGGGCGGGGCCGCGCCCGCGGGGGGGGGCGGGGCCCGCGGGGCGCCCGCCGCGGAGAGCGGCCGCCGCGGCCGCCCGCCGCGCCGCGGGGGGCCTGCCGCGGGGGCCTGCCGCGGGCCTCGGGGGTTGGTCTACTGTTTTCTGTTCACTCCTCCTCCTCCTCCTCCTCCTCGTCCTCGTCCTCGTCCTCCTCCTCCTCATCTCGAGCCATTTTGGCTCAAGCCATGTTGGCTCAAGGCTCAAGCGTTCGCACGGCCGCCCGTCGCCCCTCGCCCGTGGCTCGCCCTCGGCCTGGCGGCATGGCGCGGCCTAGAGCTGCCTGCGCGCTGGCAGATGCCGCGGCGGGCCTGCCTGCCTCACCTGTTTCTATTGTTTTCCTGATCTCAGGGCTTCGCCCTCTCTCGGCCTTGATGTGAGGCCCTGCCTTATTTTGCCCTCCCTCTCTAATTAATGCTGTGCGCGGCCCGCGTAGCATCTATCGGAAGAGGCTCGCTCTCGCCCCGCAGATCAAAACAAGTTTCTACTGTTTTCCGTTGGCGCACACCTCAGGAAAGTGCCACCACCGCAGACCTCTTCAGGGCCGGGGCGGGCGGGCAAGCCTGCCGCGCCAGAGCCGAGTGCTGCGCGGCGCGCGGGTGCTGAGGGGAGGAGGGAGCCAACTGAAGAGCCAGAGTGACTCCAGCAGTTGGTCCCCTGCCTCCCTCACCTGTTTCTACTGTTTTCCGTTGGCGCACACCTCAGGAAGGTGCCACCAACGGAACTCGGGAGAACACCAGGTGAGGAACCCTCATCATCAGAAGCTGCGCAAAGCGCTTCGGCCAGGACTCGCGACTCGATAGCAGCAGGGGGGATATAAGCTGTAACTGCCCCACTTCGCAAGCCCCCGCGGGCGCAAGCAGCTGAAAACCCGTCTGTGTCGTGTATGTCCATCGCAGCGCCGTGGCGGAAGGCATGGGAAGCAATTCCCAATGCCTCTGCCGCCGGCGTGCCCACGGCCACCAAGTCCTCGGTGAGGCCGGCGAGGAACTTGGCGTAGTACCCAAGCGTGTGCACTTCTGCGTTCGTGTCACGACGGACTGCGAGTAGCCATGAGGCCCGCATGTGCACGCATAGCTGAGGGTCGTCGGCGCAGACGCACTTGGCTTCAAGAGTGGATTGCGCATGATATTGACCTTTACGTCTGATGGGACCGAAACGCACCGTTCCCCTTATCCACACACAGCAGACATGGCATCAATTGTCCTAGGAGTTCCGACGGGTCTCTGAGCAAGAAGGCGTACGCAAACATGTAGCCCATGCCACGGAAGAAACTCCCAGTGTCAGCACCGTGGGCCAAGAGTTTCCTCAACTGATCTTTATTGTCTCGCGGCCTCGGGGCCGGTGGCGGCTGCAGCTTCCGGGCGCCAGCTCTGATGTCCGCTAACACCGGGGAGTGTTCCACGGGCCAATGGAACCCTGCCAAAAGATGGAATTTCCGCCAAAAGCAGATAGAATCGATTTGGGCGTCCCTTCATGGGTTATGAGTGCCGCAAATATGTACACTGTCGCTGGACTCGTCGGCAAGAACGGTCATGTCAAGAGCTCACAAAAAGGCTTGAACCGTCCTCGCGGAAGACATGTATCCAGTAAGCGAGCTGCCCACAGAAGCCCCGATCTTCCCGAGCATCAGTACGTCAACAATGGCATGAACATCGAAACCCTCCTGTTGGGCAGAGCGTAGCATGTCAAGCTGCTCCCGCGGAGGAGCGTTCACACGTCCTCTGGCGCTTGCCCAGAACGGCACCGATACAGTCACACACGGCGTCAGGCGCGGCTTGCGCCAACAAGATAGCCGACCCAAGGTTCTCCAGAACATCTGTACCGGCGCGACCCCCCACCAGCAGCTGCCAAGGCCGCAACTTCACCAGCAATGGAGATGCAGCGACACGTCGCGCAAACTCGCCAGGGTCAGCACCCCGGAGATCTTCCAAGGAACTCCAGCCCGCGGCAGCGAGCGCGGCACGGGCGCCCGAATGCAGACACTCCCGGGACACGGCGAACGGCTGGCCCTGCACGGAGCTCGACGCCAGAGGTGGGACTGGCGCACGCCAGCTGCCCGCCGACTGGGACGCCAGCGATGGGGTCCGAAGGCTTGCAGCCCTCGACCGCCTCGCAAGGCGGAGAGCCGCCGACGCCGCCTCTGCGCGCTGCGGGAAATCAGCGGGCGCTGCCGGGCGCATCGCCCCTCCCGAGATCGAACGGCAGATCCTGAAATCTTGGAGCCAAGACGGTCGTCCCATTTTCCTGATTACGTGGCGCCACAGCATACGGGGCCCTAGCGGACACTGACCTGCGGCCTCATGCCTGGCCCGGCAAGCACCTGCCATCGCCTTCTCTCGCCGACATGCGCAGGGCACGGCGAGCCGATCGAAGAGAACTGACCGAGGCCAGCACGGCAAGCTGCGGCATCACAGGAAAGTCCGTCTAGGGATCGGAAGCTCCGGAACATGCATCGCGCATGAACCGCACTTCCCGAAATCTCGTCGCCTCGCGGGTCGGCGGAGACCGAACTCTGACGCACAATGTCTTCCGTGCATCGCCGGCCGCATGCATGCCGACAGGCAGACGAAGCGAGCTCCCCGAGGCCCAGCACGAGCAGCCGTCGAAGATGAATCTTGGGATCGAGAGCTCCCGAGAAAATCGGGCCGGACGAAAGTGGGGATTGGGAAAGGGAGGGTACAACATTTGCTGCATGCAGCTGGATTCGGCCCCGCCGAAGGTCCCATCCCTCGATACATACTCGCCTCCGGCGCCGGGAGGCGCCGGGAAAATCAGCCACGTGAGCTGATTCTCCCCCCCCCTTTGCTATCCCCCCTTTCGCCCGACCCGAAAAAACATAATGAAGGAACCACGCATCTTGACATGATTTTCGGTGCATCGCCGGCCGCAAGCACGAGCGAGACACAGGCCGCACGTCCAGCAGACATGCACAGGGAGAGCGTCCACATAAGACGGCCAGGCTCGCGGCGCGCAGCGGGCCGCCAAGCAATGCATCGCAGAGTCGTGCGGTCAGCACCCAGACGCGGCAGACCGAACAAAGCAGTCACATGTTGCGGTTCCCGCGGAGGACCCAGACGAGTCGCCACACAGAGCGTAGGCCTGCCGCGCCAGAGCCGAATGCTGCGCGGCGCGCGGGTGCTGAGGGGAGGAGGGAGCCAAGTGAAGAGCCAGTGTGACTCCAGCAGTTGGTCCCCTGCTTTCCTCACCTGTTTCTACTGTTTTCCGGTGGCGCACACCCCAGGAAGGTGCCACCAACGGAAAACAGGAGAACACCAGGTTAGGAACCCTCATCATCAGAAGCTGCGCGAAGCGCTTCGGCCAGGACTCGAGATTCGATAGCAGCGCAGTGGGGATATAAGCTGCAACTGCCCCACTTCGCCAGCCCCCGCGGGCGCAAGCAGCTGCGAACCCGTCTGTGTCGTTCATGTCCATCGCAGCGCCGTGGCGGAAGGCATGGGAAGCAGTTCCCAGTGCCTCTGCCGCCGGCGTGCCTACGCCCACCAGGTCCTCGTTGAGGCCGGCGAGGAACTTGGCGCAGTGCCCGGGCAGGACCCCATGCTGGAAAGAGCCAGAGTGCCTCCAGCAGGACGGCCTGCCGCGTGGCTGGCGCGGGCGCGGGACGGGGGGCCCGCGGCGGCGGGCCGCCGCTCCGGGCCGCGGGGGCGCCGCGGGGGCCCCCCCTCTGCGCGGGGGCGCCCCGGGGCCGTGGCCGCCTCCCGAGGCGGAACGCCACCTTTTGCCGCGTGCGAGAGCGGGGCCCTGGGAGAGAGAGAGAGAGAGAGAGAGAGAGGGACCCTGAAATCCTGGCGACTTAATTGTTTCGAGCCGGGCGTTTTCGCCCTTTTACGGGTCCCAGGACCCTTACAGATTGATCCGGCTCGAAAAATGACGCAGAAGGATGGGATCCGGGGCTCCAGGCGCGGATTTTCACGATGTTGCAATTTTTCCGTTACGTCGGATCTCAGGGGAGAGAGGGAGGGAGAAAAAGCTTGTCGGGTATGGCCAGGGCCCCAGGTAAGGGGACCTGGTCAGTGGCAGGGCCCCGGAGCCCTTGGAGGGGCCATGAGCACTGAACCAGGTCTGCCGCAGCTGGTGTTTTTCCGGTGACGGCAGTTGCGGTCAGTGGAACGGGACGGGGGGAGCGTCCCCCAGGACACATCATTCAACCAGGTCCCAGTAAGCCCAGTTCTGCCAACGCCCGAGCCTGCCCTTGGATTTCAGTCGTAACCCATACTTCGTATGGTGACGACATGTGATGGTCTTTGAATCATGTTCGAATGTGTTTTTGACAATATGTTGCTTTTCCTTCAAAACCCGCCTGCGGAAGGGCATGCCCGACCTAAGCCTGGACCGAAGGAGCGGCTCCTCATCTTGATAGGGGGCCGCATGTGAACCCTACCCCTACCCCCCACAATTTCTGAGGGGGAGGGTGGGGTTCACTTTGCTCGGGAGCTCCCGAACGATATGAACCCCACCCTCCCCTCAGAAATCTTGGGGGGTGGGGGTAGGGTTCGCATGCGGCCCCCTACCTGAGTCGTTCTGCTTGGACGGCCCAGGGGCCTGGGATGGGCCCCAGAGAATCGGGCGGGCGGCAGTGGGGGGTGACCTGGGGTGGAAGAACATGGCCCTCAAGGGGCCCTCTGGGGCCCCTCGTGGTCCCCCTGCTGGCGATTTTTTTTTCTTCGGCCCCCCTTCTAGCTCCCACTGCCGCGCGCCAGAGGGAGGCCAGATGCGGCGAGGCCATGCAGGACCCTCTTCCCGCCACCACGGCAGCGAGAAGACATGGCAACGATGCTGCGGTCCAGAATTCGCAGCTTGTCCTGAGCTCCCGCGCGGCCAGGGAGGAGTGGCCGAGCACGAGAGGCAGAGGGCCGCTATGGAAGCTCCAGAACTCCCAGCACGCGTCCAGAGCCAGCCGCACCAGGG